GAGGGGCCTAAGCAGGACTTAGGGAGAGGTCAGATGTGGAGGGTGATGGAGAAGGGAGGACTCAGGGCCATCGAGTCCCAGTTTCTGGCCTAAATGGAGGTTGGAGGGGGCAGGGATATACAGGAGAAAGAGAGTTTCAGTGGGGCTGAGTCTGGCGGAGGGGGTGGGTGGGGGGCAGCACTGTGTGGGCAGCCAGGCATGTGGATCCATTGCCAGGAGAATGGTAGAGGCTGAAGACTCAGATCTGGCTGTCAGTGACATACAGGACACATTGGAAGTCTAACATAGATGAGATTTCCCAGAAGGAATGCATCCCTGAAAAGAGAAGAGGACCCTGTGGCAACACCATCACCTGGAGAAGGAGCCAGACCCAGGGGCTCTCCTCAAAGCCTCCCCCCAGTGGAAACTGCTCCTATGGTGCCCACTCCGGGAATGGCCTTCCCTCCTTGTGGTTGACAGCACTAGAGCCTGGACCGTGGTCCCACATGAGTTGGAGCTGGTCGTACCCAGGCCAGCTCAGCATGGCCCCTGACACATGCAGCCCATGACTCAGTGAACACTGAGCAAAGACTGGGCTCAGGGAAGGCAGGCGAGCACCATGGGTCTTGTGTTCCCAGCACTTACTGTGGGACAGCACACAGCGGGTTCCCGATAAATTAGTGTTTGACGCCATCTGACTCTGTTTTTAAAAAACGATGTGTGTACAAAGAAGAAAGCAACGCCAAACACTGTATTATCTAGGGTGAACATTTGGTGAATTGTATTCAGAGTTTCTCCTTATGTGTATATTCAGACAAGATCAGGCATGTTCAGGATGGTATGGCCGTAGACCTTATGTGTCTATTCAGATAAAAGACTCGATGGAGGAGTGGATGGATGGCTGATAGAAAGATGGACAAAAGCAGCTTTATTAAAATATAATCATACCATATTTGCTATTTTTAAATGAAATGCATAAAATTGAATCTTAGTAGAACATAACTGAAGAGAAACAAACTGAAGTAAAATGGAAGAACGGGTAGATTTGAGATAAATGTTAATTAATCACAAGAAATATTAGTATAAAAAGATCCCTTTATAGGAGAGAGAGAGAGGATAAAAACCCTCAAAGGGCTAGAGTCATTATGTTGTACTTTTTTCTAACGACATATTTCAATTTTAGATACCATAGGTTGACTCTGATTTAAAGAGATTCTTAGTAAGTGCACCCCCATCTCCCCTCCACCCACCCCCCAATTTTGGTAGCTGAAATTAGTTTTACTTTGACAGGTTGTATAACATTTACATTCCGTTCTGTAGCCAGCATTCACCTAGTTGCTATTCTTGGTTCTGCACTTAAATAGATTTGAAGCTCATCACCACTCATTCTAACAGAGGTTCTACATCACTGAGTTGTTTTTTTTTCTTTTGAATCATCTCTTGGTTGGCAGGATTTTGTCACTGAACATGACTTTCAAGAAGAGCTTGTGAGTGCTTTAGTTGCTGAGGCCTTTCATGCTGGGACAGGGTGGCTTTGTCCCCCGCGATCCCCTGGCTGCTGTGGTATCCCTGGGTCACGCTCTTTTCCCTGCAGAATGCCGTGGCTATTTCCTTTGCCTTTCATTCTATCACTTCATCTTTTTGCTGGGATTGGCAGCACCTGGTGACCAGCATCTTACGTTCCCTACGTTCTGAACCATTTGAGAAAGATGAAAGAGGAACACTGCTGTTAGAGAATGGGGCGAACACAGCCTCAGAACGGGACAGGCAGGGCTGCTCTGGGGCCAGCTTCCTTTCCGTGGGCAGAGTCTGTCCATCTAAAACCTAAGGCCCAGAGGGACGAGCAGGAGGAGGGAGAGGAGGGGTGGGCCGCAGGCTGCCAATGTTTTCCATCGACTCACCACCCAGCTGTTCCTCCACCTCCAGTGCACGAGAGCAGGGGGGGCCGGGAGGTGGTTTTGGGTGGGAGGAACCTCCCCTCCACATGGGAGGAGCCCTCAGGGTAGAGGAGGCAGCGTCTCCCCATTGCTTGCCTTTGACGTCTTAATTTATGGAATCTATATCTTCATTAAGCTTCATCTACAGCACAAAGTGCTCTCAGGAACTTGCTTGCACGTCTCAGGTTAGGTTTTTTTCCAAACAAGTTTCTTCACCCATGCAAATGTTGCAGAGGGACAGTGTGAGTAGAGGACGCTGGATTTGGCAACAGCATGATCTGATACGACCTTAATTTAGACGTAGAGGTGCAGGTTTCAGTGGTGGGTCTGAAGGCAGGCTGAGGGAGGTCAAGGAAAGGATGAGGGTTGAGAAATCAGGGAGAAGGTGCAGCGGATTCCTTAGTGAGCCCAAGCAGGAGGGGAAGGGAACGGGCCGTCTGTGAGAGGGAACCTGCAATCTGGCCTTCCTCTTCACCGTCTTTGATGTCTCCTCTCTTAGCTGCTTCCCCTCTGCCTGTAAACATGCACCAGCCTTTACTGTGGAACTCTACAGTCTAGGAACCACCGCTCATGCCCACTTACAGGCAGAGGGGAAGAGGGCAAGAGAGGGGGACATTCAAGGTGACGGAAGAAGGGCAGAGGCAGAAAGAGACAGGGAGAGGCAGATGGGACAGTGAGGCCTTGGGTGAAGCCGGAGCAGGAGCTCCAGACCCAGGAGCAATGCCCAGGCAGGGAGGAGGACTCTGTCTCCTGAAGCAGCCAAAGTGACCACACAGTCTCACAGGAGAGACAGCAAGGCACTCACCAATCCCTCCATCTTTCCAGTTCTGGAGGAGAACTGGCCTCTCTGGGGGACTCAGGGGACCGAGGAGGGAGGGCTGAGGTAGGTGAAGAGTCAGGATCACCAGGGTCATGGTGTCAAGGGGGGCGCCTCTGTGGCATCCAGGGCTGTGAGTAGTGAGGCTGGAGAGGGGCCTGTGCAGTTGGGTGGAGCCTCTCCCCTCTATGGCCTCATTGCGGCTCTGCCCAGCCAACACCCGGTGCCATGAGACTCTAGGGAGACACAGCTATTGAGGGCGGTGGGACCAGGACCCACTTTGTGTGACCTTCCCTAGAGTGGCCGGGTCTGTCAGCAATTGCTCTGCTGTGCTTCCTTGCCTTTTTCCTGAAGACAAAAAGAAGGAAACCATGCCTTGCTATCTAATTCCAGGCAGCACTCATGCTGTGGATGAGGAGACTGAGGCCCAAGGCATGGGGAAAGACCCCAGAAGAGGCGAGAGTGGGGGACAGAGTTACATCTAGACGTCTGAGATGGCTCTGCCGGACTGGGGTGTCGGGTAGCTGATGAGGCTGGAGAGCTAGGCCAGGGTCAGATCACAGCTGGACTCTAATGCCACACCAAGGACTTGACTCTAGAAAATTCAGTCTGCTGGAAGGGTGGAGAGTGGATTGCAGAGGTGGGGGTCTGGGTGCAGTTACAACAGTGAGGTTGTTATGACCACAGTCCAGGTACCAGGGTGCACGGCTAGGCTCAGGTGGTACAGATGGAGCTACAGGACTTGGTAACTGACTAGCTGTGTGGGAGATGGATGCCTCCATGTCTTACTTGGACAGCTAGGGGGTACTTTTCATACAGGTGAGACCAGACTATCAGGGAAGGTCGGGGTGGGAGATCAAGCCTGGGAGACATCCGAGGGAAACGTCTGGTGTGCAATTGTACATAGCAGTCTAAGGCTTGGCGAGAACTCCCAGGCTGGAGCTGTGGACTGGGGCCATCTGCACACAGGAGGTGGCTATGGCATGGCATGGCCGCCATCACCCAAGACAGACCCCGGAGGTTCATCAAGGATCTCCAGAAGTGGGCAGAGAAGAAGGCTCACGAAGCTGTGCTCAGAGATGTCAGTGAAAGCAGCAGAAAGGAGCAAAGCTGTCGTCCACACCAAAGACAGTGTTTCAGGAAGGGGGAGGCGGGTGATGCCCGGTGCTGCCGGAAGGCCTAGCAAAACAGAGCGTTTCCACCAACCCGCAGTAGCGAGGGCACAGGTGGCCTTGGGAAGAGCGATTTCAAGGGCTCATGGGGCAGAAGTCAGACCCTAGAGAGTGAGCGTGCAGGGGAGCGCGGGGCCGTGCTGTTTGGGAAGCTTCCTCGTTGGCTGAGAGTCTGGTGCCCATACTCTCTGGGTGTTGTTGACTTGCTTTGTCAAAACAAGTGTTTAGCTTTTAGAGAGAGTCTTATTTAACCAAAGATCTCCAGAGTGCCTGTGTCACCAAGGCCCCTTGCCCATCACCTGTCCCTCTCACAGAAACTCCTTGGTCCCAGAAGGTGAAAGAGCTCCCTCCTTGTAGGTTCTCGGAGCTCCAGAACCTTGGTCAGGGTCTTCAGGCTGCCTGAGTAGCACATTGGGAGCCGGCGGTGCTGGGAGCTCGCCGTGCTGGGAGCCCGGCTGCCGCATTCTGAATCCAGGCCTTGCTACACCACATCTCCCACCCACGGCCGTTCACCGGCCGGGCCCCACTGGCTTCTCATACTCCCCTTACTCTTTCATGAGATAACCGCAGAATGTGGGGGCCAGAGGAGGTCTCTGCATCTTCAGGCCAACACCCTAGCAAGCATGGGCCCCTGGAGGGACAGCAATCTGCCTGCAGCGTTGCCCGAGGGGTACCCGGTGTTCTGTCCCCTGTGTAAGCCCCTGGTCTAGAGAGAGGCATCTAGGCAAAGACCTCTGTGGGGAGGAAGAGGCCCAGAGCCCCTTGAACTTGGTTGGCCTTCCCCAAAGTCCTGAGCAGGTCAGTGCACCTTGGGAGGCCTCTCAGAGCTGGAGATGGCCATTGGGCTCCCCTGACTTTGCCCTTCATTTTTTTTTCTTAATTATTATTATGTTTTTATAGAGAGACAGAGTCTCACTATGTTGCCCAGGCTGGTCTCAGAGCTCCTGGGCTCAAGTGATCCTCCCACCTCAGTCTCCCGACGTGCTGGGATTACAGGCGTGAGCCACTGCGCCCTCCACTTTTAAGGGGCTCTCTGGGAACAGGCCTGGGGCCCTTCATTGATCTGTGGCCCTGCCACCCCCACCTCGATTGCAGGTACCAAGGCCACGTCCCCAGTGTGGCCTTCTCCTTTGGCTCTCCCTATGGCACCACCACCCTCAAATACTTCCAGGACCACCGCAACGCAGCCATGGAGAAGAGCCACACTCCCTTCAGCCAAGGCGGCCACTTCCCGACCCTCTTCTCCACCAACCCCCACCTTCTGCTGATGTTGCGCACGAGCACCAGGGACCGCTGGCTGCACAAGCCCAGCTACACCCGCTTCAACCTGGACAGCCACCGCTCCACGGAGCTCACGCACTTCTACGAGGTAAGCTGCACCGGCCGCACTGGGGCCTCTTGCCCACCTGCCTCGCCATGGGAGGGACTGGTAGCTGGGGACCGGGGGCGGGGGGAGACCTCGCACCTGCCACAGTGTCTCAATTTCCTTTCTCAGAGCCCCGGAGCCAGCAGGGAGCGTGGCGGGTTTAGCTAAATGGAGTCTCAGGACTCTGTCTACCCCCCTCCCCGATCTCCTCCCACCTCCTGGGGCTTCAGGGCCTCCTCTTCCTGCTCACCCCCACTGCCAGTGGAGCTAGGGGTCTCTAGGGGTGCTCCTGCCCTTACCTTCTGCCCCCCGGAGTCTCTTGGGTCTGTGGAATGCCATATATTTTCTATGTGAGTAAAAGGTCTAAGATCCACCCTCACCTCCGATGAATAGCACACGGCCAAAGGCCCCACTAGAGCCCCCGACCCCAGGTCCAGCCCATAGTGTTTATCCACCTGTGTCCTGGAGCCCGCTCACCTCTCCCTGCCCTGCAGCCCCCACCCAGTGGGTGTGCCCTGAGTCACCCTTAGCCCCAGGCTGGGTGAGACTGCCCTTCGAGGAGCGAGCCCAAGGAAGGGGACCCCCCCCACACCCCGTTCTCGTCCCGCTGTCCGGGCTGATAAAGGCTTACTGGATGTAGTTCAGACATGTCCCCACAGACCACAGGTGCACAGCGGCCTGAGCTGGCCCTCATGACCTTGGCGGGGATGAGGGTTCATTCTTTCCTCTATTCCAAAAACCTTACTCTCCCCATCACCTTCTCTTGCAAGCATCCTCCTCTAGCCTGACTGCAAGGACGCAGGTATGTCCTGGCCCCAGGGCAGAGAACTTGTATGCATAAGGCAGCTTCCTCCGGGAAGGAGGAGGCCGATGCCATCAGCCTCTGAGGCAGGTGCGACCATCTTGGGGTCTGTGAAAGCTTCTGCCTTCTTCTTGGCTCCCACACAGAACATGCCCTGTACAGAGGGCGAGGAGAGGCAGGAGCAAACACAGGCCAGGTGGACAAGGAGCCTGTGTGCACAGCAGGTGTGGGGGCGCCTGTGGGGCTGGGTTTTTTGTACTTGGTCTTAGCTGATCCCTTGTCTCTGTTTACTCTTCGCAGCAAAGCTGGTCAGGTGGGTGTCATCATTCCCATTAGGCAGATGAGAAATCGAGGCTCAGTGAGGATACCCGGTGGGTTGGCAATTTAGCTGGGGCCCCAGCAATGCTGGGACTCCTCCAGGGGCATTCGGGGAGGTAGTCCCCAACCCTGACCAGGTACAGCAAGGCATGGGCTGCAGGTGCCTGGGGTCATTCCTGCACACTAACAACCTGTCACCTCTTCCTCGATTGAACCATAGACTGTCCAGGAGCATCGGAAGTACTATCAAGACAAGACGGGCATGGTGCCTCGCGTCGCCTCCTTTGTGCTGCCTGTGAGGGAGCCGGAACGGTACCCCCTCCCCACCGTCCTGTGAGTGACTGCCTCCTTCATCCACACAGTCAAAAAACGCACCCAGCCCAGGGGGCACCTGCTCTCAGCCAGGCGTGCAAAGCACACAGACTGAGAAATGAGTTGAGGATCTCACCCTAAAACATGCAGTGCAGAGAGTGATGGTGACAGAACAAGGGCATTGGCAGCCTCAGAGGGGATGCTGGTAGCCTGAATGGGTGAATCTGGAAGAGTGCTTTCCCAGCCAGATGCATTGGGAGTTTGGGAGAAAACTGCAATCATTTAGCTTAGCGGGCCTGAATCTGCGGACTGCTGCCCTGCAGAGGCAGCCTGGCAGCTACACTCGTCCAAACGTGGGCGCTGATGCAGCGAGCAGTAAGGAGCTGCTGCCCTCTGGTGGCCACAAAGGGCACTACACTGAGGAATTGCTCCCCACCCCACCACCTTCCCAGCCCTGTCTACATTAGGAAAATGTTCTCCTAAGGACTCTCTGTCCATCCAACAAAATAGAAAAGTTCCTTGCCTCCTGCCCCTCACTGCTTTTATCTAGGAGAGCTCCTTTCTCCAGGGAAGGCCCATTCTGCCCTGAAAGATGACTTGGATACTGTGGTTTCTGCGCTGTCTCCTTCCTGAAGCGCGGGCAGGGGAACCACTGGTCCACACGAGGTGTCCTGGGATTGGGGTAGCGTGGTGGCTGCTGTCTGGCCTGGGAGATCAGGAGATAGAGCTTGGGATTTAGCTCCATGCCAACCACTGCCTGATTGCCTCAGAGTCCTGAGAGTCACCATCATCCATACTGATAAAGCAGCATCTGTTTCCATAAGTTTAATGGTTTTTAAAGAAACAGACTTCACTGCCTCTAAAAGTTCCTTTCTGCAAGCTAGACAGCATCATTTTACAAAAAGGGAGCCTGAGGCTGAGTGGTCGCCTGGGGAACTTGTGCTGCGTGGCCTCGCTGGTTGGAAGCAGAGCTTAGAAAGGAAGCAGCATCTCCCATCACCAACTCTGGGACTCAGGGGGCTCTCTCCAACTTGGGATGGCTCTAAGCCAGTCCATCCCTGGAATAGGGACTCTTTTGGAGACAGGTATCCTCTTGAGACTGCTCTGGCCAGGATCCACCCCCGTCCCCATCTCTGTGGGGAGAGTGGGACACCCCGACTCTATTCCTTCTCCAAATTCCCTGGCCACTTGCTCTGCTGCTGACAGTTTCACAACCAATGCAAAGGACCAACCAGGTGTTTGGGGAAAGAGGGTCAGTGACCGGCCTGGGGCGAGCCCCTCCTGTCCTGGAGTCCCCCGAATCAGCACCATCATCATGTCTTAGAACATTTGTTGTGTGTTTACTCCTCGTCCAGAGCTTTGCATGCACTACTGCATTTCTTCCTCAAGTCAAAGCTAAGAGGGGGTACCACCACTGGGCCATTCTTCCAGGAGTTAGGGCCAGAGTCCATCCCAGGTCGGTCTGACACCTGAGGGCTCACTCTTAACCACTACATAAATAGTGGTTATATAAATACAGGTTATTCCCATTATATAAATACAGGTTATTCCCGCCCCAAGTCCAGGGGCCTTATCAGGGTTAAACTGATGAGTAGCCAGCAGGCCAGCGTAAGCTGGAGAGTGGGCACGTGGGGCTGTGGGTGGGCATGTATCACCCTCCTTCCCTGGCACACCACATAACACCAGTCCCATCCTCACCCCTAGGCCTCCTCTGAGCCCTAAGAGGAAGTGGCACCTTTTAAGACTAGCTCCTGAGAACCTGAAGACCTACCAGACCTTCCCATCAGGGAAGAAGGTCTCTCCACAAGAGCGGCAAAAGAGAGACTGCTACTTCGAGTTCAGAGCATGAGACCAGGTGCCTGATGCCTGAGGTCCTGGGCCGTGAGCAGCCCAGCTTGTTTGGAATAAAATCTTTAGCATGACCATCCTTCCCACCTCTCTTCTGGATCCCAAGGACACTCGGCCACAGTAGAAAATGCCCCTGAAGGTCACGCAGCTAAGGGCCTGAAGAGAGCTCAGCCCCAGGGACTCAAGCAAAGGAAAAGCAGTGTCCGGCTACCTGGCAGGTCCACCTACCTTCTCCCCGAGGCGGGGCAAGTAGAACTGAGGAACGTAGGGTTCCCAAGTCTTAGTGGCAGGTCACTCAGGTACAGAGACCTCCCACCTGATTCATTGGTATCAGCAAGGACGCCCAATTACCCTGATCTGAGAATGAAGGGGACGTGGCCCCAGCACAATTGCGCTGGGTGTGATCGGAAAGGAATTTTCATCGGAGCCCTGATGTGGCATTGTTTGGTCCACACGATCACTTGTGAGGGAGGTGTTATCTCCTCTTTACCGATAAGGACACTGAGGCTTGGAGCAGGTGAGAATGTTGTCCGAGCTCACCCGGCTGGGAAGCATGGGAAGTAACACAGACAGAGTTTGAATCCAGGTCTTTTGACTCCCAAGCCCCGGTTTTCCCATGACACAGCCTGCCTGTGGTCCATGTGGAGACCGAGGGGCAGGCAGGACACAGACCTGGGGATCCTGAAGGCCCCTGTGGAGGGTGAAGCCTGGGAGAAGCTGTGAGCAGCAGGCGCCTTCTGCATTCTGCCCAGGCTGGCTTGGACGGGTGGATGCGGCATCTACCCCTGAAGCTGTTTCTAGAAGAGGATGGGAGGGAATGACCGAGGACCAGGCCACTCTTCCAGGAATACCTATGTTTTGGGGCCCCAGGCCAGAAGTGGACGCTGGGCATGGGTGCTGAGGCCGCAGGCCTAGGGTGGTCTTTGAGGTCTGGAGGGTCCACTCCCACCAGGCTGCTGCTTCTCACAGCCCAGGAGGCTTCTGCCTGCTGGGGCAGGGGCAGGACATGGGTGAGAGCCCCTCAGTGGCAGGATTTGGGGTGGGGACCTCAAGCCAAGGTAGAGACCTTCTCCAACATTCCAGCGCCTCTTGGATTTGATCGAGGGCACTCCATGAAGCAACAAGGCCCTTATTGCCCTTGAGTGGGCGAGTCAGGACCTAATGGCAAGGGGAACACAGCCAGGTTCAAGGACGCTGGGACTGAAACAGCCCCTCCTCTGTAGCCAGCGATAGACACCTCCCCCAGGACAGTATAAGTACGATAAACCCTATGAGGGGCTTCTTCTGTGCCTCCAAGTCCCTAACGAGCTGGGCCCCAAAGACTCTGTGGAGGCCAATTTCATTCCGAGGCTTGGCTGAATAGCAAAGCAAATAAACTCTGATTGCTGGTTCCACAATCAGGGCCAAGATGCCTTCTCCCTTGGAAGGGGAGTGGGGAGCCGGGCGCCGGCTGGAATGGCTGCTATGTGCAGCTCGGGGCTGCGAGGTGCTGGGGGTCGGGGGTTCTGATGAAGGGAGGGAAGAGCGTGTGTCTTTCTAGGGATCCTCATCCCATTTGGCCTGGTCCCCTGCTATGACGTGGGTTGAGATTTGAACTCTTCCCTCAAAACGATCGCCTCCACAGCCTGCTTGAACTGGAATGGGCAGTTCTTAATTAAAAGTACGTGTGTGCTCCTGCATTCCACAAGTGATGATCTGATGGGCTAAGGAAAAGGGTTTTTATTTTATCTAATAAAGAATATTCTAGAGGTGAGGGTGGGCCCAGGACAAAGTCATACTTGAAACCAGCTCCCTCTAGTGCTGGAGGGGACTAGATTCCGGTGTTCTCCCGCGAGGCTGCCACGCCAGGTGTTTGCAGCCACATCAGCATCCCCAGAAGTGAATCCGAAAGGAGCTGAAAGAAAGAACTTTGTGACAAAGCAGAGACACCTGGTGCACAGCACAGAGTGAGCGTGGAGGGCTGAGGGGAGGCGGAGACGTCGGCACAGAGGGACCCAGTGGCCCCGGGCTCCTGTCCTGGTGCTGGCTGAGGTCTAGCTCTTTGTTCTGTTTTCCTTGGTCTGTAAAATCACCTTAAGTGGGCACACTCCAAATCAGCATGCCTCTGAGACCGGCTGGCCGAGTTGCTCCCAGGAGCAGGAGACGCCAGCCCTCAGACACCAGCTCCCCCTGGCTCTTCCTCCATGGCACGCCCTGCTTCCAGGGGGCATGTGTCTCCCAAAACCAGCAGAACCCCAAAAAGACTTCATCATGGCCAAGGAGATCTGGAGACGGCCAATCTTCTCAGGAACATTTGGGCCACAGAAGACCCCTGCCCCCTCCCCCCCATCACTCTAAGAAATGGAATTGGGTGCTTCTCTCATTGTCTGTTTTCTTCTGAGCTCCACCACCAGCATCTTCAGATCCTGCCTGCAAAGCCCCAACTCCCAGTAGGCTGCTGGAGGCGGTGGGGTCATCCAGGAGCCCAGTGGGCCTCAGGAGAAGCACAGAGGTGTGCCGGCTGGCGCGGGGAGTGCTCTGAGGTTGGAGGTGTGACATCATTCTCAGAGCCTGGAATCCAATCCCCACCTCTGCCTTTTAATGCCCCAGGGTTACCTATTTCTCAGAAGCTCCAGTTTTGCTGATTCTGAAAGAATCTGCAAAGTCTCCTGGAAACTCATGACCTCCTTGGGAAGACAGATGTCCCATGGACTGAGGGGAGACTGGATGTCCCATGGACTGAGGGGATACTGGGGGGCCCTTCCTGCCCCCCCTACCCACTCTTCTGGGCAGTCCTGCCCCTCCAGAATGCCTTACTTCATGAAATCTGGAGACTTGGCCATTGCATGTTCAAACTCTGAGAAGGACAGCATGTTGTCATTGTCCAGATCCGACTCCCTCAGGACCTGGCGGCGGAGCACAGAAGGTGGCTGAGTGGGACCTGGTGCCAGGCAGTGAGGTGAAGCAGGGGGTGGAGGGGGAGAGCCACATGCCAGGGGCTGCCAGATGCCAGGGGCTCTGCCACGTGCTTAACACTCATCTCCTGGGTCCCCTGACCCCAGTGACCCTACAGAGATGAGGTTACATGCACCAAGGCTGGGGACCCTGCAGACTGCCTCTCTCACTCTTTGGGGGCTCCAGCACCAGCCTGGCAGTGAGAGAACAAGAGTACCCCCAAACTGCCCCTCCAATCAGTAACACAGGGGGCCCAGGCAGGCCGGGAGGTGGTGGGGACTCCCTCAACAGTGCTCGTGGTTTCATCTTCCTTCTAGTCCCCATCGAGACTGGAAATGCTGGAGGCTTGTCATGTTCTGAAAGCTGAGGTGCAGGCCCTGACTTGAGTTTGCGGGGCCATCCTCATGTCTGTCACTCCAGGACACCTGGGTGTTGTGTCGCGCTGCGACAGTGTGGGGAGGAGATGTTGAGATAGGTCCCTCTAAGGCTGAGCTGCTGTTGGCCAGCCACCGGCAGTCTCCGCCATGTAGGGAGGCCCCTCGAGTGGGTGGGTCGGGCGCAGTGTTCTGGGGACCCTGGGCAGGTCTTGGAGGAAGGATGGAAAGTCAAAGGGCAGTTGCCTCCAGTTGTCTGCCCATTCCTCAGGGCACCCTGGGCTGCCTGTCCCCTTGGCAGCCCCCAGGAATTGTGTATACCAAAGGCCAATGTGTCATCTGCCTCAGGCTGGCCCTGGGTCTCCTCCCAAGAGGGTGGCCTGACATCTAGGGGCTTTGGGTGACAACCTGGCCCTTATCCCCAGCCCCAGCCACCAGCTCCTAGCCCCCAGCACACACGTGGTGCATGAGGTCCACCAGCAGGTCCTCAGACGTGTCGTCACTGTTGAGCAGCCGTAGGATGATCCTCTGCAGGTCCTCCTCATCAATGAAGCCGTTCTCATTAAAATCTGCAAAGACGCCAGGCCTGCATTAGAGGGAGCTGGAGGCTGAACAGGAAGAGGTCTTGAGGAGTTCTGGGGGACCCGGCACCAGCCAGGACCCCACAGATGCCCATCAGCCTCTGGGAGGCCCCCCAGAGCCCAACTCTCCCAGGCGGGTCTAGAACCTGAGACCCAGGGAGACCTGGGCAGGCCTAAGAGGCAGGCACTGCAGCACCAGAGCCGGCTACAGACACATGTGTTAAATAACCCGTCAGAAATACCAATGGCAGCAAGTACTGATCATGTGGGTACTACATGCTCAGACCTCTCGCAAGAGCTTTAAGGCATTGAATCTTCCCAATCAACATTTATTAGTCTTTTACTAGAAAGAAACTGAGGCACAGAGAGTTATGTGGTTGTCTGCAGCCCCAGGAGGTCGAAGGGGAGATTCTAGCCCAGCCAGGTTGACCTCCGAGCCCCACATCTACCCCCGTGCTTTGCAACTCTTATCTCACAACCCAGAAGCAGGGTGTCTTTTGGTGGCTGGGAGCCAGGCAGTGTGGTGCAGAGGGCGGCCTGGATTGGGAGTCGGAAGGCCTGGGGTCCAGTCCCTGCTTCTGTCCCGATGTAGTAGCTATGTGATCTGGTCATGTGCCCTCACCTCTGCAGTGAAGGGGGGACAGTGGTCCTTGTCATCTGTCCAGAGTGGGGCTAGCCACATTGACCCTGACAGTGCCCTCAAAGGGTTACAGAGACAAGAGGCAATATTCCCTCCAACCCCATGCAGCCTCCTTCATGAAGTGGAGTCCAGAAATGGGCAAAAATGGGCACCATTTCTTCATCCAAGGAAAGCCACAGCTGTCGGAAAAAGGGTAAAGGACAGGGAGCCTGCAGACCATGGCAGGCTGCACACACTTCACATCCCCCACTAAGCCCAGGGTGCTGCTGTGGCCCAGGTGTGCACAGAGGGTTCCGGCCGCAGGGAGCCCTGGGACTCAGGTGAGCAGTAGTGGGGGTGGCACTGGGATGCGGACTTCTGGGGGCCGTGCTGGCTCGTGCATGCTGGCTGCCCCTTCCTCAACTGCGGCCACAGCCGGGGGCCCCTGCCTTCCAGGACAGTGCTCGGAAGTGCCCACCCACCGTCCCGCCAGTTGGGGAGTGCTGCCCGGGGTGTGGCCAGGCCTTGGGTCCTCCTTTTAGGGCCAGAAAACATGGTCATTACATAAACCTCCTGAGCACTGGACAGCCAGGTCCACCTTGAGGGGCATCCTTTGTCCCTTCAGGGCCACCTAAACTGGTCTTCTCAACAGGCCTCTGAAGAGCATGACCTGGAGGGACGGCAGGTGGAGGAGGTGCTGGGCCAGGAGCGGGCAGATACCGAACCTCCTGGGGCAGCAGAGAAGGAGCCACCCTAAGGTACTTGGCAGGAATGACTGGCGCAGTGTGAGGGGAGCAGGGGCTTCGGGGAGGGCCTGGGAGGAGCAGCATCGGGTAAAGTCTGGAAGGTGGGCAGAGTTCCGAAGGCCTTGAATGGCAGGAAAGGTGACTCTCAGGCAACCTAGGCACTGCTCCCCTCAAGCACCCAGCACGGTCGCCCAGTGCCTCACTGGCCCGGCTGTGGAGGGGAGGGGGCGGGACGGTGAACAGCTGCCTGTGTGAGCGGTAATAATCACCACCACAACACGCACAGATGTTTTTGCTGTGGCCGTGCCCTGGTCTAAGCACTTTAAAGTTCACTGCATTTACTCCCTATCCTTCAGAGATGGAGAAACTGAGGCACACACAGATTAAATAACCATACTTACCTCCTTAATCTCGTTTCAGCTCTTTGCAACCTTTAAATATCCCCATAGGCAAATGAATCCCAAATGTATGTCTCCACCTTGGGCTTCTCTCGGGACTCCAGGTTCACATATGCACCTGCCTTCCTGGTCTCAGCCAACAGCCCCTCGTATTCTCTGTGTCCGAGCCCAGGCTCCTCGCACTCCCCTCCCAGGCCCCTACCCCAGACCTGCTGCACTCACAGCTGCCCCCTTCCTGGGAAGTGGGCGGCTCCACCTCCCACCGCTCAGGCCAACCTGCAGTCATCCTTCTCTCTCTCCCTTGCATCCCACAGGTGATGGTTTGGCAAATCCTCACAGCTCCCCCCGCTTCCCATGCACTGTCCCCCGCAGCCCGGCCACACCGCCTCTCTCCAGCTGGCCCTGGCAGCCTGCTGCTGAGCTTCCCTCCTCTCTCTCTGCCCCGAAGGCTATTCCCAGCACAGCAGCCCGGGTGGTCTGTTGATCGTCATTTCTTCCTCATTGCCCTCTTCCTGCAGCCCTGTCTCACCCCGAGCAGAGCCCAGGTCCTGATCCCCAAGTCAGCTCACCCTCACTCTGCCTCCTTGCTCAATCAAGCCAGGCACACTCCTGCCTTGGGGCCTTTGCACGGAGGCTCCCTCCTTGGGACACTCTCATCCAGGTTTTTCTTCAAGTGCCAGCTCCTCCTAGGGCGCTACCCAGCCCCTGTGCAGACATACGCTTTCTGTGTCTTCCCGGCTTTGTCATTCTCCCAGCACAGAATACTCCCCAGCACACGGTGTGTCATTAGCTCGTTTATCTCCCTCCACTCGAATATAAATTCCACAAGGGCAGATGTCTTTGCTTTTTTGCTCACTGATGTATCCCTAGTTCCCAGAACAGTGCCTGGGACATAGTAGACGCCCAATGACTACTGCTGAATAAATAATGAATGAACTACCCAGGGTAACCATTGGTATGTGATGGAGACAGGACTAATCCCAGGCAGTCTCACTTAATGGGAAGTCTACGGTCTTAACCACCCCTAACTGCCTTTATTGCAATAAAGCGCCAGTCTTTCATGGGCAGAGGATCACCCAAAACAATCACTGCATTTGCCAGCCTCCCTTGCTGCTAGATGTGGCCATATGGCTATGTTCTGGCCAATGAAATGTAAGCAGAAGAGGCACAGACAACTGGGACCATCTATAATAAAGAGAAGGTGTGGTCCTCGGGGATAATGAGGTGACCTTGGGAACAAAGGATAAAGCGACAAGATAGGGGGACCTGGGATACCTGACACTGAGAGCTTTAGAACCACTGTGGGGAACTATCTCTTGACTTCTACATATTAGATAAATAAATATATACCTTTCAGCAATCTTGGAAGCTATCTTGCTTAAGCCGCTGTTACCTGTGGTATACTGTCAATGGCCACCAAATGGCCAATTCATTATCTGAGCCTAATTCATTATGAGTCTCAGTTTCCTCATCTGTAAAATGGGAGTCATAGCAGTACCTCCACTGAGTTGCTGTGGAGATTAAATAAGAAAATACGTGGACATCACCTGGAATATAGAAGATGGTCAATACAGAAGATGCTTATTGGATGTAAATAAGAATAAGCATATTGGTTACATCTAATAAGAATCTTCTGTACTAAGATATCTTGGTATAGTTATCTTCAATACTCAGTAACCACACCACGCTATAACTCAGTATAGTTATATCTTCCACATTTAGAGGCTCAATCCTACATCACTTGATGGTTGCTAAACGCTAAAAATGCAAGCCGAAGAGACCGTATAAACCCACCGTGAAGGAAACGAACGAGAGCTATTGGTTTCTCCAGTTTCTATACTTGTTCCTACTAGAGAAACTGAGGCCCAGGTTTGCTGATGTCACAGGGTCCTTTGGTGGCAGAGCCAAGACTCGTCTCTGTTCCCCACGGCAGGATATGGGTGTGGAAGCTGTAAGCTGCCCCTCACTCCTGCAGCAGTGCCTCTCCCCGGCTGAATGCCAGGACTGGAGTCTCTCTCCCTGCACCTCCATGGGAAATGGCTCAGCGCAGGTGAAGAGGGTGGAGGGACCAGCCCCAGGCCTGGAGATGGACAGCCGCAGCGACGCCACACTGCTGCTGGGAACCTCTGCAGCCTCTCTCAGAGACCCTGCAGTGTCCCCAGGCATCCTGCTGGCCCAGCTCCTGTATGCAGAGATTGCAGCAAATGACATGGCTTTGGCCCCAAGCCATCTGGAAACAATAATTTGCCAGAGTAAATGTAGCCCTAGACAGTTCCCCTCCTTTAGGGATGGCAAGGGGAGTGAGCCTGGGAGGGGCTGGGGGCTGGGAGCTCTGGGAGGCTGACCAGCCCAGGCGGCCTCTGCAGCCTCAGACCACTCGGGAGAGCCTGGAGCCTTCCTCTTGCTGTCTCCCAACAATGCTAGGAGGGGCTCAGAGGGCTGGTGGAGTCGGGGCTCAGCCTTCGGTTCCCCCCGAAGAATCTTACCATCATCACTCAAAGTCTCTGTCATTCTTACTCCTTCCAGTTTCCCCAGGAATTTTACAAAAATCATTGATTTTTGGTGAAGGGAGGGCAGGCTCCTTTCACTGTGACTTCCTTGAGAACTGAGGTTTCTTTGCGTCTCCCCAGCCAGCAGCACCTGCTGTGACGTCAGGTCCCGGGAAGAAGGTATGGGGAGTCCTGCCACAGGTGCTCTGGTACCTGCCTGGGGATAATTCCTATCTGGTGGAGGCTGTGCTGATGAGAGCAGGAAGACATTGCTGGGATGGTGGTCTTTCACAGGTGGAAACTTTTTCCAGAGGTACAGAGAGAGGAGATTGATTGGCTGGAGACCAGAGTGTCTGTCAAATCACGACGTGGAGCCCGGTAGGTAAGCTCCAGGGAGGCATGGCTGTCCCTGCTGGGTTCTCCTTCTTTTTTAATTTTTTTTATTTTTTTATTTTTTGAGACAGTCTTACTCTGTCACCCAGGCTGGAGTGCAGTGGCACAATCTCAGCTCACTGCAACCTCCACCTCCCAAGTTCAAGTGATTCTCCTACCTCAGCCTCCTGAGTAGCTGGGACTACAGGTGCCTGTCACTATACCCAGCTAACTTTTGTATTTTTAGTAGAGTTGGGGTTTCACCATGTTGGCCAGGCTGGTCTTGAATTTCTGACCTCAGGTGATCCACCTGCCTCAGCCTCCCAAAGTGCTGGGATTACTGGTGTGAGCCACTGCGCCCAGC